TATCCTAAAAAAGTAGAAACATACAATGCAGGACACTCTGAATGGTGAGCTGTTTCCTTGTTTGCAAAAATTCTAACACCAAGACCTTCACTGTAATAATCAGGGGTCCCTACCAGTCCAGATAGCTGTAGAATTTAATGCAAACAGTGAAATGATTCATTGGAATGACCTAATCTGTACTACAGAGGAAAATGTTGTAAGCATTGTACTGTCAAGCATAATCATACACAACAGATTATAAAAGATACATTTATTTTTATATCAATTTTCACCAAAGAATTGGAGAAAACCTTTAGTTTGTTCCAAGAGAACAATGTCAATGTGAGTTCCGTCTGGCTGCTTCCTGTTTTTGCAATATCCAAGTCTTACTCATCTTCTTTTCCTCATTTCCACAGCATTCCTTTTCCAATACAAATCTGTGTTTGGCTGTCACTTTTACCTTTTAGAACCATTATTGATATTTGTACATTTTTGACATCCATTTGCAGCTGTTGAAAGTTGACCTTACATATCAAACACTTGCTGATTATTTTGCTAGCAAAAGTTTTGTTTCTTTTAAATAAACTCTAAAATTTAGTCACTCTCTACTATCCTAGAAATGGCATGCCTGCTTGCATTACCTTATGCCCTCTTCTTTCTCTAGTGAAACTTTCATGCTTTCTGTATCTGTTACTATGGTTTGGACTCCACTGTAGGATTGGGAAGAGATTGCATTCCATCTTATTACCAGAAGGAAACCTTCCCGATGGAGTCTGAATTGTATACTTACATTGAATATCCTCCTGACCTCTGCAGCTTGAGGGAATACAGCTTACTCATCTCATAGCCAGTGTTGGGTGATCTACTGTTACATTCACAAGAGACAATTGCCAGAGGAAGCCAGAAAATTAAGCCATTAAACAAGTTAAACTATTTATAAAGAGAAGTTGAATATATTCTTTGACCAAGTAAAATTCTCTGGCCTTTTAACTTACAATATTAATTTAAAAAGCTGAATATTTGACCCCAAAATCACTATTGTCTATAGTAAAGAAAATCATCATTTAAAAGAGAACTCAGAAAATGAAAAATGTCTTTCCATCATCATGTACTGTTACCAAAAAAGCTTTGGCATTCTGGGATCTTTATTATGAACTCTAAATCCCAAGGAATAGATTTCTAACATTACCATTTTCAGAAAAATACATTTCAGTGGGTTTTTTCTGCCTAACAATTTTTATCTTCTATTCCTAGGGGAAAGTGACATTAAAGGTGTGCAAAAGTTAGATTTCTTACTGGGTTTCCAGTTGCTTTTTGACATTGAGTGTGTAGCAACACCTCGAGAATGAAACTCCTTTTCTGCATCTGAATTTCCATTGGCTCGTGTGGTAGGAAGGGAAGATAGAATTCTCCTATATTAAAGGAAGGGGTGCCTGGGGTCAGGATTGGATAGGATTTGGCTCAAATGTTGCAGCTAATCTAAGGTAACTCACAAATTCCTTGAGAAAAAAGGTAGAAAATCCAAACCTGAGACAAAAGCAAGCTCTAATGACCCAACCAAGAATTTGCTTTGTGGTCTGTGATTTACTTTTTCTCTACATTTTGAGTGACGCAAACCAGAAGACAGTTTTGCTACAATCCTGGAATAATAGCAAAGCTATCATTTGCTTTGTGAAATTGGGCAATTTCTCAGATCAGGTTGTTTGTTATCGAACTCTATTCTTCCAAGGTCTAGTCATTGTCAGGTGCTCATTTTCTCAACACTGTTAATACTGCTAGGAAAATCTGACATATATAATACAATATGAATATTTATATTCTTCTATTTCCTTTAACATCTCAGTAGAGCAAGACTACTGGAAGATGATGTGCAGTATAAATGATTATTTTTAACCAATGATTATTAAAGATTTCAAAGGTAAAGGTAGGCAGCATTAATCAGAGCACATTCACTTTCAAAATCATCTGAAGAGCAAAATTGTTCCAAATGTAAATTCTGAATATTTTCACAATATTGAACTGTCAACAAGTTCTCTTGCTATTCTAAGAATTAAAACCAAACTTCAATTAAGAAACTGAACCTGTAGGGGTGAGAGATTTGGATGATAAGTGTTTCCTCATTTCTAGCAACTATTGGATTTTCTCTCTGGCTCAGAGAATGAAAGAGCAGGCAAATCTCCAAGGCTGAGATTTTTGGGGTGAGATTTTTCTAACAACTCTACACCTAATTATCTGTATGTACCATCAGCAGAGATTCTCAAGGTACTGCTTATTGAAACTGACCTGGTAGGCATCCCAGGTCTTAAGGATGAATGAATAAATAACTTTGCTGAATGCTGCTGAATATGTGATAATGTAATTAGTATTCCTGCCAACAGAATTGAAAATGAGATGTTGCATCTCTAGGGACTTTTATACTTCTCTGTAAATAGTTTATCTTAAAATGCACAAGATACATATGAGCTAAGCAAAAAGGTTCACTCTAAATTAAAATGCTATTATGCTGCAGATGATGTGGATGAAGGGTTTACCGAATTGTCACTCCCAGATTGACAGAGGAAAGCCATCATTTACATATTTTCCAAGCACACTGAGCCTCACAGGCATTTGGTTTTTTCAAATAACAACAAAAAAGCCATTCGGGTTAAAAATAATCCACTAGAGGAATACAATGGTGATCCATTGCTAGTATCTCCTGACTATGAAAATAAATGTTAACATTCATTTGATACTAAGGAGAAGGAAAACAAACTGTTTGAGATAAGGTACTTTCTTCCAGATTTCAAAGGGAGAATTTTAAAAAAATGTTATGTTTCAAAATCATCGGAGATTGCTGCCTCAATTTGTTTAAAACATTAAGGCATTTACCATATTGGCACCAAATCAAGTCAATCTAATCAATTTCCCCTTGGATACTTCAGTAACTTAGAATTTAAATGTTAATCAGTTCTATTCAGATTATTTACATACAGGTGCATAAGAAATAATCCAGTGGATTGTTGCCTGATATGTGCTAGCTAAAACTGCAAAGACAAGAATTATTTTTTCTATCTTCCAGAGCATTTGCAAAGGATGAGTGAACTTCCTTCAGACTCAGCAGGACTTCCTCAGTCTGGCTGTGTTTCAACTCAAAATGATTTCCTCCTCAGAAACAAGCACAAGAATGCCAGTTCATCTCTCACTGGAAACAAGAATAGAGATGTATGTCTCATGGCTAGAGACTCAAATCAGGAACATATTTAGAGAGCAGCTGCTAGCGGGTCCGGTTCCTTTAATGGCGTCACTGTAAACTAGAATAAACAGGGAAATGCAGACTAACACTGGGCCAAAAATCAGAAGAGTTGGACTAACGTTGCCACTAACAAGCTCTGTGGCTCTTAGCAAACCACATAAGCTCTCTGGGCTTCATTTCTGCCTGTGTGAAAGAAAGCAGTTTGAACTGGTTATTCTTTCATTTATTCAAATGTATTGAATGCTTGCAATTTGCCAGTTACTGTTGAAGGGTAGGAAAATATGCCACTCCAAAATATGTCACTTTGACATAAGGATTATTTTTAAGCTGAAGGCAATTGGAAAGAAGAAGATATAAGAAAAACTTTTTGCACTCACTCCCCTACCTCCGCCTCAATTTGCCTTAAAGCAGGACATTAATTTACAAAGGTGTCCCTTTTCCTGTCTCCCAGGAAGGACAGAGGCTGATCATTGAAGGCTATTTTATTTTTTATCTTAAAATACCTTTTTTTTTTTTTTTTTTTTTGGCATGGAGTTTCGCTCTTGTCGCCCAGGCTGGAGTGCAATGGCGCCGTCTTGGCTCACTGCAACCCCCGCCTCTCAGGTTCCAGTGATTATCTGGCCGCAGCCGCCTGAGTGGCTGGGATTACAGGCGTGCACCACCATTCCCAGCTGATTTTTAATAGAGACCGGGTTTCACCACATTGGCCAGGCTGTTCTCAAACTCCTGACCTCAGGTAATCCGCCAGCCTCGGCCTCCCAAAGTGCTGGGATTATAGGCGTGAGCCACGGTGCCCGGCTTAAAAAACTAACTTTGAAACAATTTTGGGTTTACAGAAGTGTTGGCACATTAGTTCACAGAGTTAATTTCTATATACCCTTCACCCACGTTTCCCTGACGTTAACATCTTACAGAGTCATGGTACATTTATCAAAAGTAACAACATTAACTAAATTAGACTTTACTAGGATTTCCTCAGTCTTTCCACTGATGCCCCTTTCCTTTTCCCAGATTCCATCCAGGTTCCTACACTGCATTTTGCTGTTATGTCTTGTCAATCTCCTTCAATCTGTGACCGTATCTCTGACTTTCTTTGTCTTTCATGACCCTGAAACTTTAAAAAATACTGCTCAGTTATTGTAAAATAGTCCACAATTTTGGTTTGCTGATGTTTTCTCATGATTACCCTGAGATTATGGATTTCAGGAATGAATACTGCAGAGGAAAACTCCCCTTCTCAACACATTGCATCGGGGGTACAGAGATCACTTTAGACCCTTATCAGCCTGGAGATGGCACCAGAGGAATCTGCATAAATGACTTTACTACCTAGCCTTTTTCTACCATGAGGTTTTCATATATCGACTTCCCACAATTTGCTGCCCCTGGAGCTCTTATGTCTTTTTCCTGGGTCTTTTTGCTACTCTAAAACGTTTAAGTTCTTTGTTGAAGAGGATAGATAAGCTGGAGTTCTAAGTCATCTCTTTGAGAGTTACCCTTTCCCTGAGTAACATGTATTTATCAGATACATATATTAATAAACTTCCTTTTGTTTTTCTCTTGATAGCCTGTCTTTATCACTGGGGTCCCAGCTAAGAACTCAGAAGGGGCTATGGTTTGAATGTGCTACCTCCAAAATTCAGGTGTTGCCAATGTGATGGTATTTACAGGTGGTGTCTTTAAGAGTTGATTGGGCTCCTTCCTCCTAGGGGGGATTAAGTACCTTATAAAAGAGACTTCATGCAGTGTTTGGCTCTCTCGCCTTTCCGCTTTCTGCTTTGTGAAGACATGGCATTCCTCCTCTCTTCCTTCTAGAAGACATAGGGACAATGTGCCATTTTGGAAGGAAGCAGAGAACATCCCTCACCAAATAATCAATCCTGCTGGTGCCTTAATCATGAACTTCTCAGCCTGCACAACTGTGAGAAAATAAGTTTCTGTTCTTTATAAATTACCTAGTCTCAGATATTTTGATGTAACACCACAAACAGACTAAGACAGAGGGGGATAGTAAAAATTATGTTTCTCCCATCCATTGTGATTGCTACTGGGATTTCTACTGGTGAACTGCCTCATGGGGCCTCCACCCTGGTGCACTGACGTTGGTTTTCTAGCTCCTTTTTTGTGTTTAAATAGACACCATTTTACTTTATTACTTTCAAAACTATGAAGAAAAGATAATCACAAGTCAGCCTGAACTACCCTTTCTAATCTTACAAAGCTGAGGCCAACCTTGCTTAATTAAGATCCATAGGCACATGTGAACAATTAATACATTTATAAGGAATGTCCTATTTTTACTATTTATGGCTTTTATTAGCTAAAGATTCTGTATCTTCTTAAAAAAATGCATTTTATAAAAAGCTTCTAATACTGGAGATAGGCTGATCAGTGACCATTTTATAGGTGTCAGCAAAACTTACCCGCATAGATGCATAGAGTACAATTTTAACCTCTTGGTTCCTCAGATCATATATTTCTTTACTGAGATTGCTTTCCCTTGCTAATCTCTATCCACCCTAAGCCAAACTTCTTTTATTAATCCAGAAACTTTGCTACTTCATACACAAGTATTTCTTCAATCACATTAGCTTCCATTTAAAGAAAAAGCAAAAACACTATTTATTAATTCTATATGACAGACATGGTACCAGGCTCTTTGTTTTCATACAATCTCTCTGTGCTTAGACTTCTATAAGCCCAATGCCATTTTGCATATCTATTTTATTCATTCATTGACTTATTGCTTCATTTAACACATTTATTGACCATATAGCGTATGCCTGGTGTTATTCTAAATGCTGGAGGCACAGTAGTGACCAAAAAAAGGTCCCTGACTTCATGGAGGCAGCTTCTAAATAAATGACAAGTTGCTGGAAGACAGGGCCTATTTTGTTATTTTTGTTTGTTTTTATTTTGTTTTGCATGTAGTAGAAAATGAGAATTTGTTAAATAACTAGAAGCTTGTGTTGAAGAGACATGCTACGGTTTTAATGTATTCCCCAAAAAACATGTGTTGGAAACTTAATCCTCAACAAAAATGTTGGGAGGTGGGGCCTAATGGGAGGTGTTTAGGTCATGAGAGTGCTACGTTCATTAACGGATTACTAACTATTGAAAAAGTGGTTGAGACAGTGAGTTTAATCTCTTTTTCTCTCTTGCTCACACTCTATTGCCCTTCTGCTTTCTGCAATGGGATGACACAGCATGAAGGCTATCACCATATGTGGGCTGATTGATCTTGGACTTCCAAGCCTCCAGAACTGTAAGAAATATATTTCTGTTCTTTATAAATTACCCAGTCTAAGGTATTCTGTTACAGCAGCACAAAATAGAATAAGACATAGCAAAAATGTGGAAGGCTAGAGACAATAAGACTAGGCTACTATATCCACATTGAAAGGATATGGTTAAAACTGGTCCTAGGAAATACTGAGAAGTAAACGCTTCCTTAACTGAGTCCAACTCACCTGCCTACCTGCCTCCTTCCGTCCTCTTCCAAATTCATCTAAATACTTATTGTAATAGCATTTATTGCGAATTTTGTCTAATTATCTTAAAAGTGTTGGTTTTTAAAAGATGAGTGGCAGAGAGATGTAATGTTAATATATATTATTAAAGTATAATATTTCAAATACTGTGATTCAGGAATAGAGATGTTCTATTAAGTCAAATCTTCTCAGCAAAATCACTGACACTTAAAATTATGCTACCTACTAGTGATCAGCTGCTTGTAAAGAGAGGTGCCATTGTTCTTGGCAATGAAGACAGGGAAATGATATCATAGTAATAGAGTGGCCAAAATTTTACTTTTTGGCTTAGAATTTCTGAGCAAGCACTTTCTAAAGTTAATATACATGACTGTTTGGAAAGGCTACTTTCATATCAAAGTAATACGGATATCTGAAAGCTTATTGGCTGGAAAGGTTGGTAAGGACCATCAGAAGAAGGGGAAACAAATCTCTTTTTCTAAGGACATATCTAACTGATCAAGCTTTCACTTCAGACAGCACACAGATTTCCTGACTTTCAATCTGACACCCATAAATATCCCAGCTCAGTGGGTCTTTGGGTTCCCCAGTCTCTATAAATATACCATAGCTTTTGATTGTTTTATGATGGAAGTTTATTTTATTTTATTTTTGCCTGCACAGTTGGCTTTGTTTTTTTCTATGCTTTATAGACCCTTGTCTTTTTATTAGTTCAGTGTTCCCTGTTGATTTTGTATTTTATATTCCTGCTGTCACCACCAGAACCTCACTGTAAACAAGAATGTTGTATCTCAGTGGGTTATTTTCTGTTAATGACCTGTGATACAGTATATAAATAAACCAGAGAGTCATCCACAGGTGCAGTTTATTAGAGTTATTGCATTGTGGCTTGGGTAATGTTCCTCGGTTCTTTAAAACTTTGCTGCTTTGAGAAGCAAAGGGGCCAGCTAGCTGGCAGGTTTGAAGAGAGAAAAATGAGCCTGTCACTTTGCAATGGATGGGAACCTAGCCTAATAATCATCATTTTAATTTCTCAGTGTCAACATCTAAGTTGCTGTATGGCTTAAAAAATTCCACTAAGCCAAATTACCTAGATAAAGTGGTCTGGTTCTAATAGTTGTCTTGAACAGGAGTAGAGAGAACACACAATAGTCTCTTCCAGTACATCAAAAATAAAACCCCAGGAAAAAACATACACTGTACTGCTCAATTAGAACAAGAGGGATTGTTTGATTTTGCACACAGGTGCATAATGAAGACTGATAATGATAGTTTATTAATGAATTCTCACAACCCCTGGTGTGGTAGGTGTTAAGACTCAGATTCATATGGGGGCAATGGAGGCTAAGTAACTTGCCCAAGGCCATGCATTGAATCAGTCCCAACTCAGGGAAGATAGACATCAAATGAGCTCCTGCTACACCTTGTGTTATAACCACTAGATCATGGTCTGGTTTTGTCTAGGGATGAAATTAGCAGAAGTGAAATTGAAGCTGAAGAGTCCGGAAATAGAAGGACTATTTGGTAATGATTTCAGAAGGGAACTAAAAGGCAATGAAGTGCTCTGAGAATACTGTAACGTGCTTCAATGAACAGATATATACTTCTGGATTTGAAATAATTTAGGAACAGATTCTGCCACACATCAGTAGCATTCAGGACTTGGAGAAGACAAGAGAACGGACAGAGGTAAAGTGGAAAGTACAGTAGAGGAAACTAATGTTCTGAACATTCTATGCTATTTTAAGGTATTTACAACATAATTTAGTCCAACATAATCTTGTCATGGAGATGTGTAGAGAATAAGACTTCAGGCTTCTATGTGACTAATTGTGAGCAGAGTATTAGTAGATCTTCATTTGCTTTTCTCGTTTTCTTATAATAATAAAAATAATGTTCAAGTATAAAACTTTACAATTATTTATCATTGGTATTAAAATTAGCTACATTTTTGCCACACATATCCAGGATGACTCTACTCTAAACTAACAAAAGCAACCCGTGCATAACAAATCTCTGGTAATTTAAGATGTTTAAGTAGTGCATGCACAGCTATACCTGTCACCAAAATGATGAGTTTCACTTTGATGCATCTCAATCTTCAAATTTGTTCCAGGTCCTTTGTCAAACAGACATACTTATTTCTCTTTTCCGTGTTTGTTCTAGAAATAATTCTACTTAGTAGAACTGCATGATCAGTTAGCTCTACAGTTTTATCAAATATATCAAAAGCATGCGATCTGTGCCGTTGCACAGAATTAGTTTGGTGAGTTAGCATTCCAATATAACTTATTCAAATTTACTTGCTGAGTGAACTATTGATGCATAATTTTAGAAAAAGAAATATTAGCACATAGATTTCACAATAGTCAAGTCATTGCTACCCCAGCTACACGTTCTACTGTCTTATTCACCATCCGATGGTGTTGTCATTATTTAATTCTTGGAGGATCAATACTGTTTATCGAGAAAGCACCTGTTACTTTAAAGGAATGTAGCAGGACAATGGCACTTTCCTTTGTTGTTGGAGAAGTAAATTAAATTAGAGAAGTAAAGCCATCAGGGTGTAAAGTTGATACCTGAACAAAAGCCAAATTTGACAAATGGGATCTAATTAAACTAAAGCGCTTCTGCACAGCAAAAGAAACTACCATCAGAGTGAACAGGCAACCTACAGAATGGGAGAAAATTTTTGCAATCTACTCATCTGACCAAGGGCTAATATCCAGAAACTACAAAGAACTCAAACAAATTTACTAGAAAAAAACAAACAACCCCATCAAAAAGTGGGCAAAGGATATGAACAGACATTTCTCAAAAGAAGACACACATACAGCCAACAGACACATGAAAAAATGCTCGTCATCACTGGCCATCAGAGAAATGCAAATCAAAACCACAATGAGATACCATCTCACACCAGTTAGAATGGCAATCATTAAAAAGTCAGGAAACAACAGGTGCTGGAGAGGATGTGGAGAAATAGGAACACTTTTACACTGTTGGTGGGATTGTAAACTAGTTCAACCATTATGGAAAACAGTATGGCGATTCCTCAAGGATCTATAACTAGAAGTATCATATGATCCAGCCATCCCATTACTGGGTATATTCCCAAAGGATTATAAATCATGCGGCTATAAAGACACATGCATACATATGTTCATTGCAGCACTATTCACAATAGCAAAGACTTGGAATCAACCCAAATGTCCATCAGTGACAGACTGGATTAAGAAAATGTGACACAGATACACCATGGAATACTATGCAGCCATAAAAAAGGATGAGTTTGTGTCCTTTGTAGGGACATGGATGCAGTTGGAAACCATCATTCTCAGCAAACTTTCACAAGAACAGAAAACCAAACACCGCATGTTCTCACTCATAGGTGGGAACTGAACAATGAGATCACTTGGACTCGGGAAGGGGAACATCGCACACTGGGGCCTATTATGGGGAGGGGGAAGCGGGGTGGGATTGCATTGGGAGTTATACCTGATGCAAATGACTGGTTGATGAGTGCTGACGAGTTGATGGGTGCAGCACACCAACATGGCACAAGTATACATATGTAACAAACCTGCATGTTATGCACATGTACCCTAGAACTTAAAGTATAACAATAAAAAAAAGGGGAAAAAAAAAAAGTTGATACCTGAGTTCTTTGCTTTTCTCATACATTGTGGCTCTCCAATATTTCTCACCAACACAATGCTTTCAGGAGCTTAATGGTTAAGTAAACAAAGCTCTGCATCCATAAGCACTTATCTCCATATGAATTTCTATAGGGGTTGTATCTTTATAGTCTCTTTATTAATCTTTATACTAAGATATGATTAAGTATATCATATCTTATTTCTATAAAATAAGATATACTAAGATATGATTAAAATGACAAGAGAGAGAAAGGCCACTTATGATTTCAGCCTTTTACACTATGGAAATTCTTAAATAATTATCTAATGTTAAATCTACCAACTAGTTGGCACTACAGTTTTGGTTGTTTGTTTTCTGGAAAGAAGAAGGAAGTATCTACAATACTTATTTACCTAAAGGCAAACTATTTGTATGTGAAAAGATAGTTACATCAAGTATTGGCTATGATGCTTCTTTAACTACTAACATTTAAAAAGTATTGTAAATCACAGTGTCTGTTATGTGTATGAGTGTTTCTCGTGACTTTTATTTTTGACCAGCCTACCCAATACATAATCTGCTTAGACTCTTTTTGTTATTTCATATTTAACTTCCATTTTTATTAATTTCTAACTTACAGAATCAGAACAGAGAAATGAAAAATCCTGTATTTTGCCTGCTTTGAGATGATTTCACAGTGCCATTCGAAAGAAATGTTTGTATATACTTGATTAAATGAATGCACAGATGTATATTAACATATATATATATATATTTTGGTGATTTAAATGACGCATAATATTTTATCAAATAATTAAAAGTGAATATAAAAAAACACTATCAACAGGGCCTCCAGAGGTTAGAATGGCAAGACAATTAAGGGAATTAAATGACTCCTCCCTGGTGCTTCTCTCAGTTGTAGCTTCTCGGAGCATGAAATACCAGGAAGTACAGGACAGCGTGGTCCAAAAGCTAAGAAGTGGTTGGTAGAAAATGATCTGCCAGAGGGAAGCATCAAAGTGGGCTGGGGAAAAAGATGGGCCAATGACACAGATAAACCCAGGGCACCTTCATTTTTTCATGATTTGTGGTAATGTGGCATGATAAATGCATAGCTTTTTTTTCTGCCTCTATATAATCTTACTGTTAGTATACCTGTTTTCTCTAGAACTGATGGAGAATTTTAGTATTAGTAATCATGGTAGCTTCGCTTTTGAAAGAAAATTACAGATTTGCTCAAATAGGTACCTAATGCCAGAATCTGTAGTACATTAATCTTGCTAAATAGAAATCTACCTCTACCAGAATACTTGCAGTGAATTTACCATATCACAAAGTAGTTATTCCTGCCTCTCTGTAGCTTTTACTCATTTTTCTGGTTCTGTCTTATGAAACAACCGCAATTAGCAACACTCTTTCAGGTGTCATGCTTCAGAGTTTTGACAGCAGTCATCCTAGTAAGTTCTTCTTCACCTGGCCTGAGATGCACTATTACTCCAGCAGGTTTTTAGGTTACATGGTTCTGAGATCATTCTTGTCTTCCTAGGGACTGTTTTTTAGTTGCACACTGGGTTTTCAAGATTTCAACAATAAACATTTTTCAAGAATCAAAACAATATTCCAGATATGGTTTAATCAATGCAGCATGTTACAGGGTTATTGATTTCTAAGGTTTAGATATTACACCTCTACTAATGCCATTTGGATTTGCTTAAGTGGCTGATCAGCTGTACTGCAGAATTTTCCCATTGTAATCTTGAAGTCAACAACTTCAGACTTTTCACATTTCTGTTGCCTGACTGTGGCTTTCCTATCTTGTCTTTATGTATCATAAGATTATAATAATACAGAAAATGTTCAGGAAAAGAGAGATAACCATTATATTGTATGCTTATAATTTCTCCCCTACAGTATGTGCTAATTTCTACATCCTGATCTTTGAGACATATTGATACACTGGAGTATTTTAGGGGGTGAAAGATAAGAATAGTCATGGAATTACAGGAAATATCTTATGAGGAACCGTGAAAGGAACCAGAAAGGTACCATAAAGAAGAATGATGTGACAGTTTTCTGTTTTGTGAACTCTCTTCAAATATCTGAATGGCCGCAGTTGGAAGGTAGAATGGAAAGTAATTTATGTTAAAATAAGGCAAAAGAAGACAAAATTGAACCCAATATTACAAAGAATTGTTTTGCTTTTTTTTTTTTTAAATGCCATGGGCAGTTTTGGGCAACAGTGAGCTACCTGTCCCTGATGGCTTAAAAAATAGAAAAATTTCTGACTGACCTGTTCTTAGCTCATTTGATGGGGCTCTGGGCTTTATTATCTTTTCAAATTAAAGAGTTTAGAAATATTTTTGGAATCAAATAACATTTACATTTATTCCCGTGAAATGTTATTTTTAACTGTGACCTAGTCTTTATTTTGTCATGTCTTATAATTTAGTGTCACTTACAACTTTATAAATGTTGTTTTTAGGTTATTGGTTAAGTTATTGATATAAAATGGGTAGCACCATATTTAGGGTTCCAGTTGTTAAGAATCTGTTGGAGCATGTGAAAACTCAAAAAGGAAATAATTATTTAGTACATATTTTAGTATTTTACCATGAAACAGTTTCTTCATTACTTTCTGATCACAATTCGTTGATCAACCAACTTATAATGCCATGGCAATACCAAAGGAAAAAAAAAAAAAGAAAGGATAGAGAAAGTTAATTTGGTATGACCATGTGAATGCACTTATGCTGACAGCAGGTGCCTTTCTTCTCTCGTGTGACACTCACTGGAAGCTGCAGTCCAGGTTGAGAGGTGGGATCAGAGCACAGTGAACTTCAACTCTTGGATCTGCTTACAGGGGACAAATCATATAGGAAGAGTCCTGAGGCAAAACAGTGGCCATTCAGCCTGAAACAGAGAAATGGTGAAGGAAGGAATAGCCTGGACTCTGAAATGAAAACGTGGTTTGAAGGGGGTTGGAGATGGAGGGGAATAGAGTATCCACATCCAGAAAATGACAATAATAAAAGAGTAGGCATAGGAGAGATGGAAGTTTTTGGACAACTGCTGCATAGATAGAAGTGAAGAGAAGATTCATTTTGGGGCATGAGTCCAAAGCAAACCTAATGGGAAAATCAACTTTCGCTCTAGCATCATTTATCTATGGACTTCGTCCTCAGAAGATTGATAGTATGGCCAATTGTAGACACTCAAAATTCATTTATTCGGTAACTTTATCATAACATATTTTGCTTTATTTGAGAAATTGAGACTTTGTGCATTGCTGGTTTTAATGATCATCTTTAAATATCTACAATTTTTCAAGTATTCTAAACAGTGACTCAGGTTGCATCTGAAAATTATTTCAGCCTGTAAGATATACCTTATTTGGTGCTACACATTTGAACAGTTTATTTAAATGATCCCACAGAATCCCAAAACCTAAAGGACTCTGGATCATTCAATTTTTTTCTTAGTGTCTCTCATATATATATACACACACATATATATCACACATGCGTGTGTGTATATATGTATATATATACATATATATTTTAACATGAACTTATGTAAGACAGTTGTATCTCAGTACACTACCACATCTTTCATACCTCTGCTAAACATGGCTATTTTGTGGCTTTGGATGTAATAGTGTTAAGAAATGACAGAGAGGTAAAATCTGTTTATGGTTAACAGTGAGAAGAAGAAAAAAAGGAAGTATCTATTAATACCAAAAGCACAGAAAGTGGAGTTAGTGTAAGATACTTTAATGTTGCATATCTATGAGGCATGTTACTAAAGAGTAGAGTATTGGAATCACCATGACGTAAGACATTAAGAAGAGAGACAGATTGTTGGAGGTTTGTTCAGTGACCATGATGCAAAGACTATGAAAAATGGAAACACATTGCATATGATGAACTCTAAATATCTTAACCACTTACTGATCAAGTGAGTTTGACATTAGGAAGAGAATATAAGTACTGACTGGTTTGTTGGCCATGGAAAAACTAGAATACACCAAGAAGCACAGAAAATTGAAGGTGGTGGAATATTTAGAAAGCTATCTACACAAAATTTAAAGAATGTTATGGTGTAAAATTTCAGAAAATCTATTGAAAAAGGGTTTATGTA